CAGGTCATGAAGCAGTTGCCAGTCTAAATATATATTACATATTAAAAATTAAATATGGATCTTTTGACTACAAAATATGAAGATCCTTTTGGATTTTAGAAATGTTGTACCATTTCTGAGTTTATTGAGGGCTATACAGGGGTGAAATCCAGCAGGTTCTGACAGGTTCTGGAGAACGGAAATTTTGAGTGGTTCAGAGAACTGGTAAATACTACCTCTGGCTGGCCCCAGAGAGGGGTGGGAATGGAGATTTTGCAATAAACTTCCCCCTGGAGTGGGGAGGGAATGGGGATTTTGCAGTATCCATCCCCTACCATGCCCAACAAGCCACACTGACAGTTTTCGTGCCGCGGTTTTGTCTGTGCGCTTTTGTCGTGCGCGCATTAGTCGGGTCACGTGGAGGTTCACTGACAAAAGGGTGTCCGACAAAAGCACGCCCGATGAAACCGCGGTGACAAAACCGTGAGTTCTAAACCGCGCCGATGAATGAGCACTGAAGCGCGCCGACAACAGCGCGCCGACAGAAGCACGCTCTAAACCTAACCCTAACCCTAAATCGTGGATCCAGAGGATAAAACAGGCCATTCTAATGGCGTCTCCCACACAACTAGATGTTGTCTTAATGGCAAACATAACACACATCTATAAAATACACCCCACACCACTTTTCTTTCTTCTTATGTTCTATCATTTTGTAATCCAATAGTCGACATCTGTGTGGTAATTTAAGTGAGAAATTGGCTACATAAAAGGATTCAGATAAATCATTTTGTATTTTAAAGGCAAAACATCACATAGGTTTTCTTCATTCTCAGTACCAAAACTCGTACCCACCACGTCCCAGCTAATACCATTCAGTAGACATTTGCAGTTGTCTTCCACTGATACCAAAATGCAAAAATAGAGAGCAATTAGGAAGGTTGGTTCAAGTTTTTCCCTTTTATGGAAATGATCATATATTCATGAACGGCTCTTCTGAAGACCTCTGTTAACAGTTCTCTCTTCTGTAGATTTTCTCAGAATTCTTAATCTTCTAGAAACATGTTCTGATTTTGCCTATTTTTTGGCTGAAGTTGCTTGTGAAAATGGTTGTTCTAGCTTGGGTTGTTTTGTTTACTTCATATGAATTTGATCTCTTAAAACGCATTTAAAAATATTTTTAAAATAAAAATATTTTAAAATATTTTAAATGCATCTTGTACTTTCAGTGGGACAGACATCTAGATAAGCAAATAAGTCTGCTGAAATTGTATTATCCTTGTGTTAATGTAATTCCATAAAATAATAGATGGGTGGGAGGTTGGTGCTTTGTTCTTTGACCCTATAATTCTGCCTTTTCGCCAAATGAATTGCTACATGCAAAAATGTGTAATGGTATCATAACAGTTTTGCTTTTATTTATTTTTTCTAGAATGGAAAGTAGTTATGAAAGGACAAGGAGGTGGAAAGGGTTCTTGCTGTTTCATCAGCCATAAGCCCTCCTATACCCTTTAAAAAAAACCTGATAAGGAATGTACTACTCAATTTGGATTCTATGTTGTCCTTAAATGCTTACCTGGGAAGTTCATTGTTAATGGATAGGTGCTGAAGATAATTAGCTTATACAAACTTTAAAGATTGTGACTATATATGCAGTTATTTATTTTAGCTAAAATCGCATGGGTTGTCTTTCCTAATACCTTGTTCCATATTGAATTTCATATTTTAGTCTAATAAAAATTGTTTCATGTTTTGGTCTTTGTAACAAATATTTTTTTAAAAAAAGACAATATTCTAACAGTAATAGAAACACTTTATGTAACACATTTATTATTTATCTTCAAAAACTCTAGGGCAACTCAGCAGTGTACACGAGCAAAGCAAAAACAAAAACAGAGAAGCTCAGCAATTTTATCGTATATCAGAAAGCAACACGCAAGAAACTTTGCAGCAGGGATGATCTGTAAATAGGAGTAATAAATAAAAATAAAAAGAATAAGAAAATATTTTATGGTTTGGACAAAAGGCAGGCAGGTGATAGGTCCACAGAGGCCAGAAAGGAATTTGAAAATAATGCTGCTAGGTTTGAAAAACTAAAGAGCAGTTTACTCATAACGAGATACTTGCATCTCTGCGGTTTTTTTTAAAAAAAGGCACCTTTAAAAAAAAAGTAGGGTTGAACGTTCTTCAAATATTTGTGATGTTTCTGTTTAACAACTGCTGCATTCCATTGCCTCCATTCAGTAATCCCACTCTGGGGAATGTTGCTTATTAAAGTTAATTTGAGCTTTTCTAACAGATTAACAAGGAACAGGATCCAGAATGTGAGTCCATTTATTTCTCTATGAGAGTTAAGTAGGGGATCAGGCTTGAACAGTTTTTGTAGCTGAAATAATGTTGAAGAATCCTATGTCCTGATTTGGAATTAACGAGTGGGTTTTTCTAATCTTGGAGAAAGATCTTTTTTGGGTGGATATCTACTTTGCTAGCATGCCAGTAGAGGTGAAGAAATGTTGTTTTGCAGAGTTGTTGGTGGCATGCTCAGGGAAGGGTTTGGAAGCCCGCAGAGTGGCAATTTCTTCTTCTTTGTCTTTAAATAATCCCTATGTTTTATTGTTAAAATATTGATGTACGAAGAAAGTAAGAAAAAGCAAGATAAAGCAAAAAATGAAAAAACCCAACTACATTTACGTTTTTAAAAGCATAAAATAAGAGAAAATAAATTGCATTCTAGGGCTATGTCCTCCCTTTCATTTGTATTCCTAACCACTAGCCACAGTTTAAACATTTCAACTTTGCATCAAACAGTAATTGTTGTTGGTTTCTATTTAAATCCTAAAGACCATATTCCAGATGTCTAAATCTGACCTGCTCTGTGATAATTGTATACAACGGGAGCCCTTCCTGCTTGAATTTGGTAAAACTTCTAGAATATGTACTTTCAATTTTGCCACTGTAGCACATTCTCCAGTTTCAGCTTCCTGATCTGATATGGTGGGCCACGTATCTCTTTTCCGATGAAAGTGGCGCCATCAGGAAGGATATGTAACCTGTGAGTTGAGCATCCCTGAATTAAGACTAAAATCTCCCAGCACTCAGTGTATGCATCATTGAACTCATGTGGAATTTGCTTTTGCAAAATGCAAAATAATTGGCCCACACTGAATCTTACAATTCTCCCATTGGTTTAGCTGCACACATAAAAGTCATTAATCCAAAGATAAGGAAAACTAATGCTAATAAAATGGAGTTGTATAGGTTACAGTTCTTATGCTTGGAAAGAGAGAGACGCACATAAAACATGTATGTATAAACCTGAAATACATTTGCAAACCAAATTGGATTATGCAGCAACATACTGCCCTATGGAATGCTTCTGTTCAGGATTTTTGTCGATCAGCCATGCCCTTTTTTTAAGGACAGTCCATTTCATATCCTTTTTAAAAATTCCCTACTGTTCTTTCACAACATTTAGTCAGCATTATGTGGCTATTGAGCACATACCAACTTCCCTGGGTAGTGATGGTTGTGATGGTGGTTGGGACTTCCTTTCTGTTGACACCTTCTACCCTAGGTTGTTTTTATATTTCTGAAAAAACGGGAACTTCCTCAGCTACCTTTAAAGGTAAAGGTTCCCCCTCACATGTGTGCTAGTCATTTCTAGGGGTGGTGCTGATCTCTGTTTCTAAGCCAATGAGCCAGCGCTATCCAAAGACATCTCCATGATCATGTGGCCAGTATGACTAAACGCCAAAGGCACAGGGAGTGCTGTTACCACCAAACTGGTCCCTATTTTTCTATTTGCATTTTTCACATGCTTTCNGGGGGGGACATGCTGGTATGTTATGAAAAAAAACAACTTAATTAGAGCCCAGTATGTTCTGCTTGTTTAATCCAATGGATGTTCTAGAAATGAGAAATATGAAACAAACAGGAACTTACAATCATTTATATTGTTCATATAATCTGGTTTAAGGGGCTTAGTAGGTCAGCCAGCACTCAGCTGCAAAAGAACCAGAACATGGAGAAAAATGGGGTAATAAGAAGGCGCTTGAGCATAACCAAAGTCAAGATTTAGGAGATCATAGTAACAGAAGCAGAGCCAAAAAAAGAAAGCCCAAGAAACTCTACAAATATCAATCTGCTACCTAAGTGAACTTTAGAAACTCTTTCCATAAATGGGAGACTTTTGTAAACTGAACTTCACACTCAAAGGGCTAAGGCAGGGAAGGCATAAGATGGGACTTAGTAGATCCTATGCCACCAACATGCATATAGCCAACATGGATCTTATATTTTTTAGCATTCATGAGCATATATGCAAACTATTATCCAAACTTAGCCCTTTATACACAGGCATACAGCTACACTTATATCAATCGGAATAGAGCTGGAAGGGACCTTGGAGGTCTTCTAGTCCAATCCCCTGCTCAAGCAGGAGACCCTATACCATTTCAGACAAGTAATTTTCCAGTCTTTTCTTAAAAATAATGAAGCACCTATAACTTCTGAAATTAAACTATTCTACTGGTTAATTGTCCTTACTGTCAGGAAATTTCTCCTTAATTACAGGTTACTTCTTTCCTTGATCAGTTTCCATCCATCCTTGATAAGTCTCCATCCAGGTTTTTCCGTCAAACTTCCTTTGGCGCAGTCATTTATTAGGCTTCAAATGCAGATGTGCTCAATATCTAACATCCATCAATAAACATAGACTTGCTTAGACTCATTAGATTTCACCTCAACCTTGTTTCTGTTCTCTTTTTCTTCATTTTATCTTCAGACGTTTTGACTAGACAAAAGAATGTAGAAAGTCCAAACACTGAAGCAAAGATTTCCACTTCTTATATACGGAATCTAGATGCAACGAGTACATCTGGAAATAATAAAGTAAGGACGTTGTGGACCAACTTAGCTTCAGCATCTGTAGCTGCAACAAGAAGTACCACATCTTACACCAAAATAATCAGATCTGTGACACCACAGTTATCTCAAATAATACAAACCAAACGAGCAAGTGCCTCACAAAATATGGCAGATATTGCCGAATCTGAATCAGTGACTTTGGGGAAGCATTTTCCCAAGACTGCAAATTCTCCATTTTTGGAGGGAAAAAAATCAGGTGAGTTGGGGGAAAGACACTGAAACAATATAATGTTTTACATGATTAGGCAACCATAGAGGGCAGATGAGAGTTTTGAAAATGTGTTTATGGATATTTTCATAATATCAATACCACAACTGGACACACTTTTTAAAAAATAAAATGGCTACTTATTAAGCATAGCAGGACAAAAAATTATTTATTTATTTATTTGTATGCCATGATGCCAGAAGGTACATGGTACCGAATTATCAGAATCTTGCCCCCCCCAAAGAAAAATCCCCCCACAAAATAAATCAAATACAAAATATAAACAAATCTGTCAAAACTATGTGTGTACCAAATTCAGATTTCCAGTTCCAACATGTCCCCCTCCTTGCATTTAACATAATAATCAGGATTTAAATGTTTTCCTGAATTCCAAATGGAAAGAAACAGACCAGATCTCCATTCTTGTATGCATGTGTTTAGACTCTTATACTCTAGGCCAGGTGTCACAAAACTTGGCAATTTTTAAGACTTGTGGGCTTCAACTTCCAGAATTCTTCAGTCATCAATTCTGGGAACCAAAGTCCACAAATCTTAAAGTTGCGAAGCTTGGATACCCTTGCTCTAGGCATTGGCATGGATAAAAACTTTAAAAATGTTGCTTCATTCAGAAAACTGATTTTGATGACATAATCATAAGATAGAGGCTTCATTTATGAGTGGAGACATGATGGTGAGAAGCAAAGAATTAAGTAACACTATCTTTTGTATTCTTTTTTTTTTTTTTTTNGGGGCCAGCCAGAGGTGGTATTTGCTGGTTCTCCGAACTACTCAAAATTTCTGCTACCGGGTCTCCAGAACCTGTCAGAACCTGCTGAATTTCACCCCTGAGAAGGGTTTGTATGTTTTGTCTTTGCATGTGCCCATATAGCCACTTGATTCTGCTTGAGTGCAGATAGGACCAGTGGTTTTCTCTGCACATCAGATACTAAGCTCCAGATTCAGGTATCAGGCAAATTCCTGAGTGTTCAAGATGACCCCAACCAGTGTTTGTTAAGTGGGGATGTGTTTTATTTTTCAATTATTTATTTAATAGTATTTATAACTCACCCAAATCCAGATGGATTCTGGGTTGAGTAAAGGAGAATATTTGTTCTGGGGGTTGAAATGAAATGTCCTTGTTGCTCTCTCTGAGCTTGGTTGTTTCTTGAAGAGATTTTGTTACTCCAACTAGGTAACATCATCAGTGCTAGCAGTACTAGGATTCTGGGTTAGCTATAGTAAAGACAAAGAACTCCAAGAAAAATAAAATAAAACGTCAAATCTCATCATTGATAATATGTCAGGTGCTTTTAAAACTAAACTTATTTAATCTAAGGACCAGCCATGCAGTGGAATAAAACTACTTTGTCATTTTTGCAGAATGTCGACTTAGAGGAGCAAGGAGATCATTTTTGTGTGTTCCTCTCCTTCTGAAAGGAGGATGGAAATCCATAACACCAAGTTGGCCAGATGGAAATTTACCTTGACTTCAAACACCGAGGCAGGAAGACACACATTCAAGCAACATATTCCCAGAGTTGAACATTTGTGACTCTGAGAATATGTTGCTTGGATGCTCATCTTCCTGCCTCTGTGTTTGAAGTCAAGGCAGTTTTCCAATCAGATAACCTTTAATTCTCAGTATTGCCAAAGCATGCCCATTTCTGGTGACTGCCTCAAGTGGTCTTTAACCACCCTTCTGTAGGGATGGGAAAATATTTAAAGATTAAGTGTGTGTGTGTGTGTGTGTGTGTGTGTGTGTGAGAGAGAGAGAGAGAGAGAGAGAGAGAGAGAGAGAGAGAGAGAGAGAGAGAG